GCAGTTTGTTTCCTGAGATTAAGAATTCCTCATATCAGTGAGGTCATATGATACATGTCTTTCTCTGACTGACTTATTTCACTCAGAATAACACCCTCCAGTTCCATCCACATAATTGCAAATGGCAAGATCTCATTCCTTTTGATGGCTGCATAATATTCCATTGTGTATATATACCACATCTTCTTTATCCGTTCATCTGTCGATGGACATCTTGGCTCTTTCCACAGTTTGGCTATTGTGGACATTGCTGCTATAAACACTGGGGTGCACATACCCCTTCGGATCCCTACATTTGTATCTTTGGGGTAAATACCCAGTAGTGCAATTGCTGGATCATATGGTAGCTCTATTTTCAACTGTTTGAGGAACCTCCATACTGTTTTCCAGAGTGGCTGCACCAGCTTGCATTCCCACCAACAGTGTAGGAGGGTTCCCCTTTCTCCCCACCCTCGCCAACATCTGTCGTTTCCTGACTTGTTAATTTTAGTCATTCTGACTGGTGTGAGGTGGTATCTCATTGAACCTTCAACATACTCTTTTGAATATTCTTGTTGATGGCATATCTTTATCTTGGGGAAGAGACACAAATTTTCTGGAAACAAATCTAATGAATATGGCAAGTATATGTATTAGGTAATGCTGTTATGAGTCCAAAATATAAGGTACATAAATCAGTGAGCTCTGTATTCCTGTGGGGTTCCTAAACTGGTTTTGAAGACAATTCACAAGGAGAATAAAGAGATATTTACCATGACAGCTTCGGTAAAGGGACCATCTGGCTTTCCAAGGCAATTTTTATAGCAGAGAACACTCATTTCAGTATGAGAAGTTTGGGACTATTGGTTAAACAAATAGCTGCATAACTTTAGTTCCTCACACATGAGAACACAAGACAAGGCTATCTCAAATTTTATGATCCACACACCTTCCAGCATCCCTCTTTGCAGTAACTATAGCAAGCAAAAAGAATTTAAGTAAACCTGATTAATTTCCTCTCCACTCACAAAATGTTGACTTTAACTCTTTTCTCCTAGTCCATCCATGGAAACTTCTCTCTCCCTTTCTCTGACATTTGGTGACCAAATATATGACTAAGTGCCCACTGCACTATATGCTTCTGGAGGACAGAGACTATGTCTTGCTCAATGTTCTATCTTGTGCTAACAAAGAACATCAGGCTTCAGCCCAGAGATTCAGGAATGGAAGTTGTGGAGTGGGACTTATGCAACTGTGTTTTGAAAAAAAAGTCTATGAATGGTTCCAATCATCTCCTTGTTAAGAGCCTCTGACTTAGCTGCAGAGGCAGCCGACAGAGGCTGCTGCTGGTGTGTTCATCGTCTTCATCATCATGGCTAAGATTGCTGCATGCTCCTACATGGCAGGTCCTTAATCCTTACAATTCCACAAAGGAGTTTCTATAACTATTCCCATTTTATTTTATTTATTTTTTTTAAATGTTTGTAAAACAATTTCATAATAGATTTTTTAAAATTTTATTATGTTAATCACCATACATCATTAGGTTTTGATGTAGTGTTCCATGATTCATTGTTTGCATATAACACCCAGTGCTCCATTCAGTACATGCCCTCTTCAGTACCCATCACCAGGCTAGCCCATCCCCCACCCCCTCCCTTCTGGAACCCTCAGTGTGTTTCTCAGAGTCCACAGTCTAACCCATTTTACAGATGAAAAAACTACAAAGGAGGTTCAGGGCAGTGAACCTGACTGAGCTATGTGTTTCAGCTAATGTAGGAACCAAGATTTGTCTTACTCCACAGAGCTGCCCCTAACCACCATGCTAAGACACATTCAGTTCCCATGACAGGCACTGTAGTCAGCATGCCAACCCACTTACTACAATTAAAACTGGTTCATGTGTAGATTTAAAAACTTACATGAAACATTTTTTCCCTCAACTTTTCTCAAAAGTTGGCCAAATGCCTTATGTAGTTGGCTAACCAAACTACAGTTTATATTTATTTTTCCTAACTTTTTATCCTGAAAAATGTCAAGGACACAGAAAAGAGTGGCAAGAATAAGACAATGACTTCTACATATTCTCTTCCTGGATTCACAAATTGTTGATGTCCTGGCACACCTGCTTTTATTTCCCTCACTATATTTAGACATACATATTTATACATCTACATACTATTTCGGAATCATCTGTGAAATAGCTGAAGTCATCATCATACTTCATTCCTGAATACTATAGTACATATCTCCTAAAACAAGAATGTTCTCCAACAAAACTATAATAAACAACCACATTCAGAAAATTTAATCTTAACACAAAATATTATTTAGAAATCAGCTGCATTTCTATATATTAGTAAGTAGCAGAAAGATAAATTAAGAAAACAATCCCATTTACAACTGTAGCAAAAACAATAAAATACATAGGAATAAACTTAACCAAGGAGGTGAAAGACCTGTACTCTTGAAACTATAAAACACTGATGAGAGAAAATGAAGATGAAACAAACAAATGGAAAGACATTCCATGATCATGGATTGGAAGAACAAATATTGTTAAAATGTCCATATAACCCTAAGTAAGCTACAGATTTAATGCAATACCTATCAAAATACTGACATCATTTTTCATGGAATTAGAACAAATAATCCTAAAATTTGTGTGGAGCCATAAAATATACTGAAGAGCCAAAGCAATCTTGAAAAAGAAGAACAAAACTGCCAGTATCACAGTCCCAGACTTCAAGATATACTACAAAGCTGGAGTAATCAAAACAGTATGGTATTGGCACAGAAATAGACACATAGATCAATGGAACAGAACAGAGAGCCCAAAAATAAACCCACAATTATATGGTCAATTAATCTTCAACAAAGGAGGCAAGAATATGCAATGGGAAAAAAACAGTCTTCAACTTCCCAAATGGTTTTGGGAAAACTGGAGAGCAACATGCAAAAGAACGAAACTGGACCACTTTCTTACACCAATACAAAAATAAACCCAAAAGATTAAAGACCTAAATGTGAGACCCGAAGCCATAAAAATCTTAGAAGAGAGCAAAGGCAATAATTTCTGACATCGGTCATAGTAATACTTTTATTATGTTATGTTAGTCACCACACAGTACATCAGTTTTTGTTGTAGCGTTCCATGACTCATTGTTTGTGTATAACACCCAGTGCTCCATGCAATACGTTTTTCTAGATACGTCTCCTGAGGCAGCGGAAACAAAAGTGAAAATATTGGGCCTACATCAAAATAAAAACTTCTGTACAGCAAAGGAAACATTCAACAAAACTAAAAGGTAACCTACTGAATGGGAAAAGATATTTGCAAATGACATATTTGATGAAGGTTTAGTATCCAAAATATATAAAGAATTTATACAACTCAACACCAAAAAAACAAATAACCCATTTAAAAAATGGGCAGAAGACATTAACAGACATTTCTCTAAAGACATACAGATGGCCAACAGACACATGAAAAGATGCTCAATACCACTAATCATGAGGGAAATACAAATCAAAACCACAATGAGATACCACCTCACACCTGTCAGAATGGCTAAAATGAAAACCATAAGAAACAACTGTTGACAAGGATGTGGAGAAAAGGGCGCCTGGGTGGCTCAGTTGGTTAAGCGACTGCCTTCGGCTCAGGTCATGATCCTGGAGTCCCGGGATCGAGTCCCACATCGGCCTCCCTGCTCAGCAGGGAGTCTGCTTCTCCCTCTGACCCTCTTCCCTCTCGTGCTTTCTATCTCTCATTCTCTCTCAAATAAATAAATAAAATCTTTAAAAAAAAAAAAAGGATGTGGAGAAAAGAATACCTGTGCACTCTTGATGAGAATGCAAACTGGTATAGCCACTGGGGAAAACAGCATGGAGGTTCCTCAAAAAGTTAAAAATAGAACTACCATATGATCTAGTAATTTCACTACTGGGTATTTACCCAAAGAATAAGAAAACATTAATTCAAAAAGATATATGCACCCCTATGTTTACTGCAGCATTATTTATAATAGCCAAACCATGGAAGCATCCCAAGTGTCTACAGATAGATCAATGGATAAAGATGTAGTATGTATACACACCACCCTCCCACACACACAATGGAATGTTACTCAACCATAAAAAAGAATGAAATCTTGCTATCTGCAACAACATGGATGAATCTAGAGAGTACAATGCTAAGTGAAATAAATCAGAGAAAGACAAATACTATATGATTTCACTCATATGTTAAATTGAGAAACAAATGAACAAAGAAAGAGACAAACAAACAAAAAAACCACTGACTCTTAAATATTAAGAACAAACTGGTGGTTGCCAGAGGGGAGATGTGGGGGATGGGTGAAATAGGTGATGGGGATTAAGAGTACACTTATCATGATGAGCACTGAGCAATGTACGGAAGTACTGAATCACTATACTGTGCACCTGAAACTAATATAACACTGTATGGTAACTATATTGGAATTAAAATTTTTTAAATGTCAAAAAAATTTTAAAAATTATGTACCATAACTAATAACATATCTAATATTTAAAATTGCATAACAGTACATCTACCGAACATTAAGTAATACTGTCCTTGATAGCTAATTTTACTCCCAGATCTAGAAGCCAAAGATAATACACGTTTTACATCATTTCATGTGTCTTTTTCTTTAACTTAGATTCTAGAATAATAATTCCCCATTTTTTCTCTGAATAGTCCTTTTACTTTTTTTATTGCCCCCCCCCACTGGTTTTCTTTCATGAGATTAATATTTTTTAAGAAGTCAGGCCAGTTTATTTATTTTTTTATAGAACTTCCCTGTTAGACATACCCAAACTGAGGAAAATTCTACAAACAGGCCTAAATTCTTGAAAAATATTATGACTTTTAGGAAACTATATATATATATATACTTATTAACTGCAACAAACACAGTTATTTTCTGTTCTATTATAATAATATTTTTTAAAACATGCTGGTCTTAAAGATACAAATGTAGTGATCCGAAGGGGCACCTGCACCCCAGTGTTTATAGCAGCAATGTCCACAATAGCCATACTATGGAAAGATGTCTATCGACAGATGAATGGATAAAGATGTGATACATACATACATATATATATATATATATATAAAGATGTGATATATATATAAAGAAGATGTGATACACACACACACACACACACACACACACACACTGGAATATTACTCAGCCATCAATAAAATGAAATCTTGCCATTTGCAATGACATGGATGGAACCAGAGGGTATTATGTGAAGTGAAATAAGCCAACCAGAGAAAGACAATTATCATATGATTTCACTCACATGTGGAATTTAAGAAACAAAACAGAGGAGCAAAGGGGAAGGGAGGGAAAGTAAAACAAGATGAAATCAGAGAGGGAGACAAACCATAAGAGACTCTTATCATAGGAAACAAACTGAGGGTTGCTGGAGGGGAGGGAGGCAGGGGGATGGAGTAACTAGATGATGGGTATTAAGGAGGGCACGTGATGTAATGAGCACTAGGTGATATATAAGACTGATGAATCACTGAACTCTACCTCTGAAACTAATACTATATGTTAATTAATTTAATTTAAATTTAAAAAATAGTAAAAAAATAAAAATTCAAATTAAAAATGCCAGTCTTGACCTACTCAATCCCCTTGGCAAGCTTTGAAAAATATTGCTCTAGGTCATGGTTACATGAATATAACTTAGCTTAGAAATTCAGTCACAGGTAAGAAATGAAACTGTCACAAAATACTGAGGAATTAAAAAGAGCTATCTGGTGTACAAATATGATTGCTAAACAGAACAAAGCCAGCCTTCCATCAGCCCTGGAATGGTTTGTGTTATGAACAAACAACATTTATTTATACAAAAGCCCCTCCTAAAAATAAAAACATGAGAAACTATTCAGTACCAGGCACTACAAGTTCTACCCTCTCTCAGTAAATCTTTTAAACCCAATGAAATTGGTATTATCTACATTTTATGCATAAAAAGAAGCATGCTCAGACATGTTAAGGAACTAAAGTCCAGGAAAGGGGTAGAACTGGGATTTGAACTAAACCTTCTTGATATCAAAGCCCATGACCTTACCAGGGCCTCCAAGCATGGTATGTGTTCCAAAGGAAGAAAGACTCACCATCTGACAACGTTCGAACAGCAACATCTTGTGTGGAGACTCCAGGACCATGTTTGTTGTAAGCCACCACTCGGAAACTATACTCTGTGTATTTTTTCAACCCATTAATGGTATGGAAGTGACTTGAAACATCAACATCCTGGAATAAAACAAAACAATTTACACGTATACAACTCAAGCCAAAAAAAAATGTTGCAAAATAAAGAATTAACTACACAAATTTTGCATGTGATACAATGCAGATTTTTATCCCTTTTACAAAATACTACTTAACAATCAAAGCAGATTAATCAGAAACACTGGCGATTAACAGAGAAATACTGCTTGATGTTTAGTGACCCCTCCTGATAAAAACTACAGAATATAACTTGGTACAAAGAAATAGAGTCTGCTGACTTTTCATTTCCTATATTTCTAGACAAGCAAGTATTGAGTTTTGGGACTATATTTCAACTCTACTATTCCAATCAATCGATTGAAAAATGGCTTTGGGGCGCCTAGGTGGCACAGTCGGTTAAGCATCTGACTCTTGGTTTTGGCTCAGGTTGTGATCTCAGGGTCCTGGGATGGAGGCCCGTGTCAGGATCCATGCTGGGTATGGAGCCTGCTTAAGATTCTCTCTCTCCTTCTTCCTCTGCTCCTCCTGCTTATTCTTCCTCTCTCTCTCTAAAATAAATAAATCTTACCAAAAAAGTCTTCATCTTTTACCTGTTCTTTATCAGTCCCTTTTTCCATGTAGTACAATTTGTAATTCTGAATTTCCCCATTGCCAGACAATGGTGTTTCCCAGGTGACAGTGATGGAAGTAGGTGAAGCTGCATATGCTCGGATGTTAGGTGCTGGGCCAGGGAGCTGAACTAGAAAGAAAATTTTGAGACAGCAAGATATGAATGAAATTTACTGCACTCCTCAATCACCATTCTCAGCAATAACGTCATAATGGCCATGTTTTTAAAAACAATAAAAACTGAGAAAACAACTGATTTGATTGAAGTAGTTTTAGGATAGTATATAAGTAAATGCATTTCCCTTTTTAGACTCAAATTATAACCAAAAATTATCTGTTAAGTATCTCAAATGTATTCAAAGGAAAAAATAAACATTGCGGAATTTTTTTTGTGGTTTATAAAATCCTAGTTTTTCAGCAGGACTGCAGCACATAAAAGCAGCCATCACAAAAAGAGAGTCTTCAGGGGATTAAAGAGTATACTTATCCTGATGAGCACTGAGTAATGTATAGAATTGTTGAATTGCTCTATTGTACACCTGAAACTAATATAATACTGTATGCTAGTTATACTGGAATTAAAGTAAAAAACTTTAAAAAAAGAAAGAGCCTTCTTCTGCCCAACATTGGAGATGTGGTGATGGACGGAGTCCCAGCCCACAAAGAATTCCCAGTCTAGAGGGAACTCAGACATATAAATAGTTGCAAAAGTCACAAGTGCCTACAGATTTCATAATGACTAATGAAAACAAAAAGAGAATACACAACTCTGCTTTGAAAGGGGGGTGTGTAGGCAAGGGGAAGACTTCTGGAGAGCCAGAAGGAACAGCTTCCTCAGATACCAAGGGAAAAATTACTGCAGTCAATGGGGAGGATATGTGAGAAGACGGTATAATGGGGTTCAAGCGAATGCTGAATGAATGTGGGAGGGAGAATGCTGAGGAGGAGGACACAGCTGGATAGTGAGGAGCTTCTCATGTGCTGCCGTGGAGCCTGCCTCATCTCTTGGAGGAGTTAGATAATTACTGAAAAATTATGAGCAGGAACATGACATGATACGATCAGATGTGTGTTTAGAAAGGACATGTAAATGTATGCATGGAAGAAAAACAGTAAGCAAATAAGACTAAAGAATAATGATTTTTAAAATAGCTACCATTTATTGAATGCTTACAATGAGTCCAGGTTAAAGTGCTTTACCTGTATTTAAATTATGTCTTATTTAATCCTTGCACTAACCCACATGAGAGGGACACTATTATCATCCCTATTTACAGATGAGGTTGAGAGGCTAAGACCTGCTCCCACATGACAGACAGTCAGTGAGTGGTCGAGCCAGGAGCTGCACACTTTCTGATTCTAACAAGTGGACTCAAGCAGACCAGTGAGAAGATTATTACGACGCCCTCCATGGGATGTATGTGACTGGAAGACAGTCCAGCTCTAACTCCTACAACAGCTCCCGTACCTCTTTATTACATTCTTTTCATCTGACTGATGAACTTGTGACAAGTTCCAGCCCCAATTTATACACAAATTCCAGAGGTTGCCTATGCCCACACTTTGGTAGACATTCTATATTTAAAAACAATTTCTCTGGTGCCGGTGTTTCTGTAACAGAATCCATTAGATTTAAGGAACAGGAAAAAAAAAAACCTGGCAAAATGTAAAACAAACAACGTTTCTTAAATAACAGTACCACAGCTTGACAGTTTTGCTACCAAAGTAGAGAAACCTGAATGTGGTTATTCTGACAGTTGTTTGCTTTATTTAGTCATGAATCATGGTTATTCACTTAATGTTAAGAGCATTTTTTTGTGCAGCCTGACAGGTGGGATTTGTCACACTTCTGCTGCTACAGGAAACTTTCCTCTAAGTTATTAAAGGAGAAGGAAAACAAAACAATCCCCCGGTTCCCTTGAAATAACTTTCAATATATTCATTGGATACACATAAGCAAATATGATCCTAAAAAGGCACTAAGAAATTCTTTCATTTCACCTGCACAGTGGCATAATAAATGGAAAAAATTTTAAGTTGGTTTGTTCAGCTAAGTATGTAAAATATTTTCTGAGGGCTGACTTCAACACTTGCACTTCTCCTGCCACAGGCTGAATACCTCCAGATGAAGTACAAATCTCTTTCCATTAATTTGTCTTTTGCCAAAACATGTTATAGCCACTTTCCATCCCTGAAATACCCTCAAGAGAATCAGGTTCCATCTACATCAGTCTCTTTCTTCTAATCAAACTCCTTGAAGAAATGATTGTGCTGCCTACTTTCCTTAGAATTACAGAGGTACAATATCAGATAGGTGAGGTCACAGGGAAAGAGTCTACAAGGCATCTGAACCAGGTCTTAAAGAATCAATAAAATCTGAGTGTGTATCAGCAGAGTCCTATTGCCTTACACTGTTTGCCACTGTTTGGTGTGAATTACTTTGATCTCCTCTAACTAATTCATAAGGTCCTCGATGGCAAGGAACTGGTACCTTCTGCACTGTTATGGTACATGAGGCTACATGGAAGGCAGACCTTCCTATGGTCTACATACAGGTAGGGCTGACAGATAGGTGGAAGACTTACCCTCAGGCTGTGTTTCTACTCGGAGTGGAGCTGAACTCTCTCCGGAGCCATGTTTATTTTGAGCCATAACTCTAAAGATGTACACAGTCGCTGGCATTAGGTTTTGAATGGTTACCTGCATTTCTCCTGGGCGACTGGTATTCTCAACACGTTCCCTTTGGGCAAAGAGGGGTGTGGAAAGAAACAGCATCGATTAGGAATACTTCTAGAATGTGCAGTTTCATTTTCATTGCAATTCCTATAGATAAATGCCATATCAAAATCTTAACTCTTGACTCCAGGAAACAAACTGAGGGTTGTCCATAATTATACTCAGTCCACTGTACATACTATAATAAAAACCAGTTTATATTACACAAGAGTTTTCAACAAATATTGTGGAAGAATTAATTTGTTTTAGACAAATAGCTGGCCTTAAAGGATTGTCGATCATGTAAGGAGAGGTCTGTATCTATCCTGACAGAGTAATAAAAAGGTCCAAAACCACTCTGTGGACAAAATTACTTGAAATTACATAATTTGTTGAATTAAAATTCTTACTTTAAGATATTGGTAATTTTCTCTGAAATCACAGATTAAAATTTTAGTTCTACATGACCTTATGCAGATTTGCCTGATTGTATGTGAACATTTACATCTCAGAGATTTAAGTGTTTTTCAGTAGTCTCCTATAGTTTTTAAAACTACCTTATTTTAATTTAAAACAAACCAACAGAACTCACATCATCTTCATAGAGAGTGCCTGTCTGTATATAACGTTAGGTCCGCCAGAGCAGGTTAACTATAGCAACAAAAGCTATTGCTCAAGGATACTTGAGATACTGACAGGTATCTTCTCTTGAGCTAACCCTCTAAATCACAAGATTTAAAAGGAGGCTATCAGCTGATTTCTTACACTCTGAAGTTTGACAGTTGCTCTGATCACAATTGATCACTATCTAAAAGAAAGTATGGGGTTTTACACATCACCCAACTACAAGCTCCATGTGAGAGCACAGATTAGGTCTGTTTTGCTCACTGTACCTAACAGTTTAAGCAAAAAGTTGAAACTATCTTGAGAAGGATAGTTGGGGGGAGCGCTATTTTACTTTAAATAAACGTGATTGTCTCAATCACGTTCCCATATTACAGAAGAACTTAGCAGAATGCTCATACGTGGAAGCAGCATCACAGATATGTGCAGAATGCATGAATGGAAATTTGCTTTCTATGTAAACTTTGTATAGTAATAATATCATATACATTTTTTGTTCATTTCTGTGTGAAAGGAAAAAAAACAGGAGAAATGAGTGAAGGGAACGAAAAACTTAGAACAAATTTCTACAGAAACACTACAATTAAAAAAATCAGTAATACATATGATTCCTTAAGATGAAAGAATAATTAGCCAGTACTGCAAAAGCTTTAACTCTAGATCAGTCTGAGGTCCCAGAACCAGGTGCCTGTCTAGAAAAAAACTTTTGACTTCAGGACAAGATCGAGGGTGGGTTACAATTCTCATAAATGGGTGAGGTTGCAATGGAACTTAGGTTAGTATGTGTAACTAAGAGTCAAAGGAGAAAGGAAAAGGTACATTTTATATTAAGACAGTGCTGGGCTAGGCAGTAAGAGCTCTAATTCTGGTTTTGGCAAGCTCACTAATTCTTTCTGAGCCAGATAGTAAATATTTACAGGCTAAGAGACGAAATGGAAAATATTAAGTAGTTACTTATAATACCCATTAAAATGTAACCACACTTGAAAACACAAAAAAATATTCTTAGCTCCTGGGTCATAAAAATAACAAGTCTGATTTGGCCCAGGGTCCATAGCTTGCCAATTCCTGGGCTCAACTAAGATACCTGAGGCTTCGTCCATCTCTAAAATGTTATTAACTTCTGGAATAACTTACTCTGCATTTTACATTTAGTGGCTAATATCAGAAAAGTACTATTTACACTAAAAAAGAATGAACATTTCATAGTTGAAAAGGCAGAGGAAGGACCCTTTGAAATCTCAAGAAACTCAAGCACCCAAAAGAATTATCTCACGACCAAGACACACTGTGCCATCTGGTGGCTGATTTTTCAAGTGCAGGAAGTAGTGGGATTTGTAAATGCAGGTAGTGGCTTCCATCCTCACACTGAATTCTTATTCTAAGTCTGTGATGAAAAGTTACTACCCTCATTTTTTTAGATGAGAAAACCTAAGCTTATAAAGGTTAAATAAATTCTGTTTACAAAACAAGCAGGATCTAGTCTTCTGACTTAGTGTTCTTTTTACTCCTTCATGGCTTGTATTCAGAAATCATTAACTTCATTCACAAATGAAATGACAAAAACATGAGTCTCCAAGAATCTTCCTTTGAAATATTCCCTAGATTTATTCTGTTCACTTCAAGTCACTGCTCTCACCTTCGTCCAGGCCATATCCACCACATGCCTAGATTAAGTAGATTTGTCTCTCTGACTTCATCTCTTCTCTTCTCTTTACGTAGTGCTCATAAAAAACTATTTAATAAAATCACAGTGCACACTTGCTCAGTAGTCTAAAATGGTCCCTTCTTAACTGATTATGTCCAAATTCTTACTGGCATTATGACATTTGGCTCCAAACTTCCACTTTATTTATAATCTCTTACTAATTCCTACCAGAACTCTGGGCCAGTTAAGCTTTCTTACTTTCCCATCCATCAAACACCAGACACGCAAATTAAATTGGATCCTCCTTGCACCTCCTCTTCCTTTATATATACTTGTCTTGTCTTCCTGCCTGACAATTTAATTTTAAATTGAAGTGACAGAATCTCATTAAAAACAAAAGTATATATAGTTTTAAAAAATCCAAAAGTCCCAGTTTTTCTCTCTCCTCAAAACCTGTCCTCCCTGACACCTAACTGTGGCACATACTGACCTGTATCTTACCAGATCTCTTCATGTCAGGTTTTCTCAACCTTAGCACTACTGAGCTTTTGGGTGGGATAATTCTTTGTTGTAAGGGGTTGTCCTGTACACTGCAGGACGTTTATCAGCATCTGTGGCTTCTACTCATTGGATGACAGTAAGCATCCTCTCTCATCTGAGGTTTAATAACAAAAATGTCACCAGACATGGCCAAATGTCCACTTAGGGATGGAGGCAAACTGTCGCTGGCTGAGAATCACTGCTCTGGGCATTTACATGCACATCAAAATACAGAGATATGTCATTAAAAAATTCCTGTATCACAGTTCATATGGATATACATATGTTAATTACATGCCCATTCCTCCATCAATGGGCACTTACTTTCCTTTTTTCATTCTTACAAATAATGTTACAATAAACATTTTTATGAGTGCCCTATGCATATGTATATCTGTTATCTATAGAACATCTAGAAGTGTAATTGTTGGATTGATGGGTATGTGCATTAAAAAGGTAAAAAAAATTCTGCCAAATCACCTTCTCCAAGGGCCGCTCTTACACTGCCACCAAAAGCCTAGAGCGGATTTCTTCCCAGCATTTTAACTTGCTTAACACTATATATTATCAACTTAAAGTTTTTGCCAGCCTTGTACATGAAAAATAGTTTCACTTTTTGTATTATTTTGTATTTCCCAGGCCGCGGGCAATGGCAAAAACATTTTTTAACTTTAATGGGCCTTCCATTAATTTCTGCTAATCATCTACTTGTACCATTTGCCTCTTGGGATATTTGTCTTTTACTTATGATTTGTAGGAGCTCTTTATATAGATTGGATAGCAATACAATGTTTTATAAATGGTAACAAATTTTTTCCCAGCTCATCACTTGATAGTTTGATTTTGTTTATGGTATTTTATCACATGGAATTTTACACTGTTATATAATAAACTTTGTCGATCTCTCCTGTTTTGGCTTCTGGATTTCCTGTCTTCTGTTAAAAGGCCTTTCACACTCAAGTGATAAAATATACTTTCTTCTAATACATTTATGAACTTTAAAATCTCTTAATCCATCTATAATTTATTGTTATACATGACATAAGACAGAGCTATAACTTCCATTCTCTCCACCAAATGGAGTTAATTATCTCAACATGATTTCTTGAATAAGCTATTATTTCTCCATTGATTGAAATGAATTTATTCATTTAACAAGTAATTATTTGGTGCTATTATATGTCAGGCCCTGTTCCGGGTGCCGGCAATACTGTATCGAATAAGGCAGACATAAGAAATAGGTTATTGGAAGAGATGATTTCAGCGTGTTAAGTGTTCTGAAAACAAAACAAAAGCAAAAAAACCCACCAAAACAAAACAAAACCCAAAACAGGGTGACGTGATAGCAGTGGTATTCTGGTAAATTTTAATAACCAGCTCTGGTTTGTAGTACTCGTCCCAGTCAATACTTGTGCCATGCCCTGTTTTGAGCTACAAAGTCATCATCGGGTCTGCAAAATTTCCTGAAACTTTAATCACTGCCTTTGGAACAAACTGGCTCCAGAACACCATGTGTGATAGGGCCGAAGCGGGCTAAGTTGGGGGGTATTCATGGAAGGCCTACGGAGGTATCATCTGAAGATGACAGATATGAAGCCAGCAACAGTTGTTTGTGAGGGAAATGCACTCTTGGTAGAAGGAACAGCAAGGGCAAAGGACCTAGAGTGGAAAGAAGTTGGTTATTCTGAGGAATTACTAAGTGTTTTTTCCTTTTGTGAAATACTACAAAATTAGCAGTGAGATGTGAAAGATTATTGGAGACATTTTAACACAGATGCCATTTGGTAGTAATGTCTTGCCTTTCTGTGTGTAGAACTATGTTTCTTTATCTTTATAATTCCCAAAACATCTGGTACAATGTTCAGAAAAACATTATTCTATGGGTAGCTCCATTTAAATGGCTCAATGAAGTCACACAGACTTCTCAAGAGGGTTAAATCAAGCAGTTTTGATGAAGGTTCCTATCCTTGTGGAACTTGACGATCTAGTTATTAAATACAAAGTGTATCAGATGTAAGCACCCTGGTAGAGACATAAGCTTTATTTCATGTGTGAGGGCCCTACCAAAACAGATATTTTAGCTTTCTTATTTTGGTATGAATGAAGAAATCTACTTGGCAATGCTAAGAATACATAGCACGTGGCATGGTTCCTCCCAAAGGTTTTATAATCGGGTTGGGAAAACAACACAAATACACATAAAACAGCAGAAGAGTAAAAACTTATAGCAGCAAGAGATCATGTGTTATCATAGTTAAGTGCCAATATTAGTGGCACGACCACATATAAGAGAAAGGCTGTATATGCTGAAAAAGGTGGAGAAAACTGCATGAGGGCTTCCTGGGGCTTCATCGGAGCCACGAAGGACGAACTGACTTTAGCTTCAGTTGGGAAAGGGGGAAGCGACTGAAGAGAATACACTGGAAGAAAGGTGGCACAGAATGGGAATCAGACTGGCTTCATGAGAAAGGGAGTTAAACTGGGAGGAGAGACAAGGAAGGTTGGACAGATACAATAAAGCTGGACTCTGAGTAAAGTGGCTGGGGGATTCTGCACAACCTCCCACAAGCAGTGAAGAAGCAATGTGAGCTCCTGAAAGAGGTGGAGATAGAGAGGAACTTAATGAAAATGCGGTTAGGAAAATCAGCTACTAACTACTCTTGTGTCATCAAGGAGATCCCCCGGGAGCTTTCAGCAGCCCACTTCCACATATGGGTGCAGGCAAATATTCATTTAAGATTACTTCTATAAATTAAGTCTACCTTAATTTCTAGAATCTGTATGTTCTAAGTAAGTCATGTCTATAGGCTGTGCTGACTGAACCTTATGAAAAAAGAGGAACCCTAGTTATATTTTAATACTTCCACCTAAATAGCTCTATCTACCCTCTCCCCAAGTCATTCCAGAGAGGCAGGAAAGAATATCAGGACTTCAGTCTGACTGGGATAAATTTTAATGACCTAAAATTGGGAATTATGCATATTAGTGATCATATTTTCTGGACCAAAAATTGGTATAGATTCTGCACAACAAAGAGCCAGGGTGAGCATGACTGGCCTGGGATAGACCAAGATGCAACCAACTGGCTCCAGACATATGGACACTTACCTAGCAATCCCCTCCTTGGTGTAGAAGACAGAGTAGGTAAGGTTGTCTCCATGGGGATCTGAGGCAGGTGTCCGCCACGTCAATTTGATGAAGCGGGTAGAGACCAGGGAGGCCACGACATCCCGAGGAGCTGAAGGCAGTGGTCCCGTTGTGGCTGGTGCTAGATGGTCAGTAGTGGCACTGGTCAGTGAAGTGGGAGGTAATGTTGGGATGGCAACATCTTGTCATGTGCAAACATTGGGGAATATGAAGGGCAAACCACGACGGTTTTAAAAAAGAGAACAGAAAAAACAAAAAACAAAAAAGAAATAAACAAAACCACGATGGGAAATAAAATAAAATGAATGAACATAAAAAAGGCCATTAAACTGAAGGCTAACATGCAGGCCAGGGTTAACTACTGAACTAATGGGCACCATTCAGACACATCACTGTAGAGCAAGCAGACTTTCTGGTCACTATAACGGTTGTGGGCAAGGGACAGGGAGGGTGACGGCTGAGAATAAAACATCTCACAGAAGGACACAGCAGTGACCAAGTAGTTTTCTTTAATTCTGAAAGCAGCATGCAACATCAGTCAAACTTTGCACACAGAAGTTTCACCTATGATAAAACCTCAGTACTTTGAGCTACTTTATCACATATGGAATAACATGTGTAGCATGGATGAGCCTAGCTGCTCTGGGCCTAGGCCCAGGCTTGTCATGACCTCACTGCAGAGCTAGTGTCTTCAGCTCTGCAGGAGACTCGACACGTCTTTAACTTTCGTCTAATAATAAACTCTGCTCTCTGTAATTCGGCAATACCCAGGCAAGTTAAACAACCTTCCTCACTTTACTAATATTTTACTTGCTATCTTTTTCAATTCATTTAACTACAACAATATAAAAACATGAATCAAAAACGTCAAAACCATAAAAACACAATACTTAGGTAGCTTATCTGTTTGTTACAGTGCTCTCTGCGTATATTACCATGGCTTGCGGACTCAGGGACTGGATGGGGTAGATGACGCGGTGGCAAGTCAAAGCTCTGCTCATCGAAAGTCTCTGTTTGTACCCTTGTAGTCATCGGTGACTTTATTACTCCTTAAGGCAGTCCATGCTGTTGTTGGACACTTCTGATTTTCCTAATATCAAACTGAAAATCTCCTGCATCTTGGGGCCAGAAAGTATAAGTATAATCTCACAATTTTTAACTAAAGGAGTTCATCTGAGTTGTGTCATAACCTTAGTGGGAAAATTAGTGGAGGAGAGGCAGAGAGGAAAACATGAAAATTCTGGACCTAATTTTCAATGAAATGGTAGGTCAACAACCTCCAGGAAAGGCCTGTGAACTGCAAGAGAATCTTAAAGTAAGGCAGTCAAGTAACTATGCCAGAGTAAGTTCTCTAAGGGAAAGTACAGAGAAGATGAACCTAAAGTCACTGCTTAGGTGGGGGAGGGGCAAGAGTCACCCAGCAGCTACCGTCTCTACATGGCACTCTGGCTCTTCATGCGGACTCTTCATATTTCCATCTTCTATGTAGAGACTGACATTTAAAAGGGCTAAATCGCTCATCCTAGGTCACGGACAGTAAATGATGTAGTGTTAAAACCAACTTTGGTTTTTAGTTTAAGCCAAGAGGAGTTCTACTCCTGCTGTACCACTTGCCAACTGTGTCATCACGGGCAACTCATTTACCCTGTCTTTTGCTCTCCTTATGAGAAAGTACTTTGAAGAGTACAGAGTGCCATCAGAATGTAAGACTATGAAGTCACAGCCACAGTCCCAGAAGATACAAGTCCACACTCCACTGATGCAAGTGTCCACATTGTAGGAAAGTTATATCTGAACGGCCTGTAAGGTCTGACATTCTTATCCCTGATGCTTCAACAGATGTGCTGCCTCAGAGTACATATCTCTCCTTCACAGCTTTCAGAGTTCTTTTTCATATACTGTGTCAGTTTATTCACACAACAACCTCATGAGGTAGAATGGAAATGACAGGATTGGAGGCTGGGGGGAAGGTCAGAAAGGAGTCGAGGACTCCCACGTTTCTGGCTTGGGAGAATGGGTGGTGGGTGGTGTCATTCAAGGAGAACGGCAATATTAAGAGACTAGAGACTGAGGGACAGATGGCAAATCTGCTTCTGAACATGCTGTGTCCAGAATAATGATCCAACATCCGCCAGAGAAATGTGTAAGAAGCAACCAAAAATATGAATCTCTGATTATTGTAAAGTCACTAAAAAACCCTTAGTGGGAAATGGTTCGAAGAGTAGCCTGAACAGAGTCTTGCTTTGTTACCTCATTTCTCTGCCCATCCAGAAACACACTAAGTAAAAGCTGCTTCCAAGTCTGACCCGATTCACTAAGCTAAATTTTTCCCAACTATCTGCTGGCTGGAGAGGAGAGGAAATTTGTAATGTAAGAGGCAGTAGCGCATACTGGAAAAAGCCCAGGATTTCCAGTACAAAGACCTTGTGTTCAAAACCTGACTCTGCCACTTCTTAATAATGTGAAGTTGGGCAAGTCACTTAGTCTCTCTGATCTCAGTGACCTTGTCTATAAACTGGAAATGCTCCCTACCAGTAGCACCACAATTAGCTTGAATGGGTGACAAACGGAAGGAGGTAAGTATAAAGACAACCAGGAAGGGAATGTAAGCAGGAAGGACCAGGGCACAGAAGTAATGGGTGATAACTGAAAGAATCGTCAGACAGGGAAACTTCAATTAGCCTCTGGAACTTCTAGAGCACACATCTGTAAGTTTTTAATGGCATCCAGCGCTTCCCATGTATATTTTTCACGTTCACGCTCAATCATGCTAACCTATAAGCTCCTGGAAGACAAAATCTGTATCTGCTTCATCTTGGTATCACTCATTGTGCCTGTGTATACTTTAGGTAATAAATGTGTATTTACTGAATTAATAAATGGAAGAAAATTCAGGGATACTGTTAGTGCAATGGAGACAGTGTTGCTACAATCTCATCACACACAGTATTTTAATCGTTCTAGCTGATTCAAAGTACATACAAATAACATTTTTATAATTATGTTATATAAGCATTTGCTTTGCAACTGTATTTTATCAGTTATACCTAGAATAAAAGTATAAGTAACGCCAGGCTATCGTAAATGATTCCTAGTTAACTATGGGAAAAATCCATGTCTATTCCTTTTTTTTTTTTTTAAGATTTTATTTATTTATTTGACAGAGACAGCAAGAGAGGGAACACAAGCAGGGGGAGTGGGAGAGGGAGAAGCAGGCTTCCCGCTGAGCAGGGAGCCTGATGAGGGGGGCTCAATCCCAGGACCTTGGGATCATGACCTGAGCCGAAGGCAGACGCTTAACGACTGAGCCACCCAGGTGCCCCAATCCATGTCCATTCTGGTCCTAGTGTTTCACACCCACTTTCCCCAAGTTGGTTCTTTTTCTGCTGTTCCATGTTCTAGTTGGGCGGGTAAGGGAAGAGTCTTACGTGATCCCAGAGAATCAAACAGGCAATGATGTTACACCAGGATCAACAGCAAATGATGGAGATTGGCACTTCAGACTTCTAGCATGATGGTTTGAGGACATCAACAGATGCTCTTCCCAAAAAAAACAAGTATAAAGCTGCACAAAACTGTCAAAGACTGGAAACTGGCCAAAGGCATACAACAAACCAAGAAGCATTTATTTGTGAAAATCACCACAGTTCAGGTGAAACCAGCGTGTGTTGGTTTCCTCCTGTGTGTGCTCCAAGCTCCCCAGCTCTGCTGGGAAAATCACCACAGTTCAGGTGAAACCAGCGTGTGTTGGTTTCCTCCTGTGTGTGCTCCAAGCTCCCCAGCTCTGCTGGAGTACTTGTTCAACAGAGCCAGGCAGGCCCTGGAAGCCGGTGGCCCTGCAGCTGCTGCTGTCAGAGGGGCTCATGTGATGTGGAGTACTACTGGAGCGGTAATCCTGGTGGCAAGCGAAGAGGAAGGGCCAGCGTCTCGGCCAGTCCGAGGCTGTGATCTTTTCCCGGAGCAAAGAGTGGACGATAGACTAGCAGGATTTAACAGGGAGTTTGAGAAAGTGAAAAACACTAAGAAGGCTCAATAAGCTCTCCACATGCCCCAGGAAGACTGAAAGCCGTGAGTATGTGCGGCAGAGCCAGCAGTAGGTCCAGGGGACCCACATATCCCTGGCCAGTGGAACCTACGTGTGTATTCAGAGGACCAGTGAGAGACCCCGTGGAAAGCAAGAGCTGAGGCAGACTAAAAAATGATCTCAAGTTTGAATGCATGCCTCAAAACACACCAGACCCAGCAGCTGAGAGTGGGAGGCTTACTGTCTTGAGGTGTTTGAGCACAACTTCTGACTGATGTTTGTGCATACAGACACAAGGGTTACCCCTAGAAAGCCAGGCTTAAGAATAAAAACAAAATGAAAAACAAAAGCTAAGAAGAAACATCAGTGGTTGCACAGGGGGGGAAGATGGATGCCAAGGATTTAGTCCAGGCAAGTTCACTACACAAACAAAACAAGAACAGTTCTGGGGGAGGGGAGGAGGAATCAGAACCCACAGCTGCTGCAGTATGCTATCCAAAATACCCAATATTCAACAAAAAATGAAGACACATGCAAAGAAATTAAGTGTGACTTATACTCAGAGGTTAATATAAAAAATGCAGTCAATACAAAAGGTCTCAGGGGGTCCTTGGATATTAGATTTAACAAAGATTTCAAAGCAGCTGTTAAAAATATGTTCAAAGAACTAAAGAAAACTGTCAGAAACTATGCAGGGTCTGAGATTTACCTTACTTATGAGCTAACAAGACAGGCTATTACTGTTTCATGGGCGCTGGCAGAAACACAAGTCTTGCATCAGAGACAAAACTTTATTACTCGGGGCAATGGCAATAGCTAGAGCTTCTTGTTTGTTTTCATCAGTTCCCCATGCCTCCCAAGCCCCACAAAGGCAATGTAAAGGACCCAGGATGGATGCATACACATGCAGCAGGTTGTTAGAGGAGAAGAACCCTGAGTTTGAAGAATTTACCACTTCTATAGCAAGCCCCAGACAAAGAACCGGCCTGCTGTGGATATCTGATTTCATTCTGTTGTGATCAGGCACATACTTTGTATGGTTGCAGTCTTTTAAAATTTCCTGAGACTTGTTTTATGTCCCAGCATATGGTATATCC